GGCGGATGTTTTCAAACATGTGCGTACACAAAAACACAAGGATAACATGAGTTGTTTTTAAAAAAACGAAAAATTAAATTTTTCATCGGAAACAAAGGACCAAAAAGTTATTAATGCAGAATGTCTGTGCTCTGCCGTTTTACTGGAACACAACCTGCCACTGAATGCATCGGATCACACTGCAGCTTTATTTAGAAAAATGTTTTCCCGATAGTGAAATCACTAAGAAATACTCAAGGTGCAAGAATCAAAACAGGAGCAATTGTTAAAGAAATGGGTTTGAAAAGTAAATCTTCAGTTATTGATTGCATTGAAACAGCTCCGTTTTGCCTCTCTATGGATGGAAGCAATAATACCGATTCAAAACTGTATCCAATTGTTGTTTCTTTTTTTGATCCAGAGTCTTCAGAATTGAATGCAGTTTACTTCATGTTCCCACTTTAGAAGGACATTTGACAGGCTTTAATATAGCACAGCTAATTATTAAAACTTAAAAAGAAAATGCAGGCCCTCTGGATAATTGCTTAGCACTTGGTGCCGATAATGTAACAGTATGGTAGGCCTTGGAAGACTGGTGTTGCAGGCATCTTAAGAAAGGAAAATTCAGATTATGAGGTGCACTTGTCACCTCTTAAATTTAGCAGCTGAAAAAGGGGCAGCTTCTTTACCAATAAATGTGGATGAACACATTGTTGATATTTATTATTATCTTGAAAGGAGTTCTAAAAGGAAGGAAAAATTGAAACAGTTCCAACAGCTGCATAACAGCAGTTTACAATTAGAAAACTTGGATGAAATTATAAAATCAGCTAGGATCGACACCCAGTGGAGTTTAATTGGAAAGCTGAAAGGTGCTGATGGAATTTTACAATATAGTGAACTGTCTAGAATTGTGTTGGGCATCTTGACAGTTCCCCATAGTAATGTAGAATGTGAGAGGATTCTCAGTGTTGTTGCGAAAACGAGGACTAAATTTAGATCTAATATTAGTGATGACACATTAGAAAAAATTTATTAGCGAAAGCAGGCTTACTTGGCAATTGCTGTGAACAAAATTATGAAGTTTCTTTCTTAAAGAAAGCAAAATCTGCCACTGTTTATAACATTTGTACGAAAACTGATTAAAGTGTCTTTTTTTTTTTTTTTTTTTCCCTTAAACCATGCAAGTAATAAAAATGTTTTTTATGTGAAGGTATTTTTGTGTTACTTGCATTTAAGAATTAGTTACGATTTAAAGTTAATTCATTATTAAAAACTATATTTTTATCATTTAAAAAGTCTTTTTAACATTGGGAAAAAATCTCCTGATTTTTGAGTGTCGTAGGTTGGCAAGTATGGAAATGGGACTAAATGTTGCCCAATTACCCATGTAGCAATTTACTGTAATTTGAAATTCTGTCTCTTTCCCCCCTTCCCAACATGAAAAGCAAAAATTTTGGCCTTTGCTTAGACTCTGAGGCTTCAACAGACAAACAAGTGCATTTTCAATGGATATTGGAAATGTATTTGTAAAAATTATGAATCTAAGAAATTACAAAAATTGTTTGTTCTTGTAAGGAGTGATCTTAGGAATAAATCAAGTTCCTGTATCATATCCTAAAAATACTGGTAAGATATGTGGCTAAATATCAGTGTTTTCTTTCTTTATTTTAGTAACTTGTGTAAGTAATTATTAAATAAGTTATTAAAATAGTCCATATGGTCACTTTTATAGGTGTTGATCAGTAAATTTTAGCTGTTGGTATAATCTCAAAACATAAATATCTCATTACATATCATGGATTTGTGCCTTTCAGCATTGAAAGGTATAATTTCAGTGAATCATATAAGCTGCATTTTGTTATATAACTTCTTGCCACCTCCCCAACAACCAAAAAATTCCTCTAAAACCATCTCCGAGACAACTGCAGTATTCTTCTTTTAAAAAAGCCATTATCTTTGTTTGTAAAGAAGTTATTGTATGCCATGTGGCAGTGCAAAAAAAAAAAAAAAAAAAAAAAAAAAAAATTAACTCCAGGCAAGTCAGAAAATTTTGAAATGACTTGAAGAGATGAAAATCCAAGGGGGTAGGATCTAATGAATATGAAGAGGAGTGGCATGAAACATCCCAACCATACTCAAAAAGTTTTTGCCAGATCTTCATCAAAATGTGGGGCCAATTAGTGTCATCATGGAAGTAGATAAGACCTCAAGAATTCGTCAATTCTGTGTGATTTTCTTTTATTTATACTTTTAGAACTGCCATTTGAGAGCAGTATTTTTTTAAAATTTATTGTCTAATTTAGTGGCATCAGTTCAGAGTATATGATTTCATTATTATCTTATCATACACAAGAATTATTTTTGGGGGTTGCAGCTGCTCTCTAAATATTACCATTCTTTTGGCTTAGGCCATGATATTTTTTGTAACGTTATTTTTAATATCCACTTCTCATCTCCGGTAATAAGCCATTTAAAAAAAAAAGCTTTTTTTTTTTTTCCGTTTAGCAAAGAATTTCATGCTGTAATTCCAGCAAACGTATTCTGTTCTGTTAAAGTGTGCGATATGCATACATCATAGCAGCTTGCATGCAAAATCTTGAAATGGTAATGTACTGTACTGTTTTAGATATTTAACCTGTTGATAGTTCCTGAACTGTATAACAGTGTTGTATTGTTTACAGAGGATGTTCATCTGATGAAAACATCATTTTCAAGGCCAAAATTTCCACGTTTCTGAAACCACTTTAGAACTGTGTTGTCCATATATCGCATAAATTTTACAAGCAGTCTCAGTAGAATTTTTTCTTTTTTTTTAATATAAAAGCTTAATATGATGAAAATGAAGTTTTGGTTTCTGATTTCTTTGCACTGCACTGAAATATTATGCCATAGCACATGCTAGAATTACACACTGTGAGCAGAAAAGACTTTAACTTTGATCAAGATCACCCCTTATCAGCAGCATTAAGCCTTTCTCCGATCTTTTATGTTGTCAGAAAAGGATCTTGCACCAGCATGCTCGTAAAAGCATCGTTGTCAATCAAAGATGTTCACCCAGAATGTGGCTTATCAGAAAGATCAAAATCAACTGTTTCAAACTTTTCGAACCAACTTCTGCAAGTCCTATCAGAAACTATACTTTCACCAAATACTTTCAATAAATTTCTACATACTTCTGCACCATTTCTTCCTTGTTGAAATTTGTATAAAATACAGTGGCCCAAATAAACTTTATCAGTCGCCATATGTATACTATTGCTTCACACTTAGTACTAACATGAATCAACTTTGTTTTAGTTTATTTGGTACATCAGTATATATACATTAAACGATAAAAACAGAGCCAACATGCGCCAAATAAACATGTGTTTGCATGTCAAAAATTGTTGTCATGAAACAGACAGAACTTTCTAGTAGACCGATTATATGTCCTAGTATCATGTTTCATTTGCATTATTTGCTGCTTTACATAATTGTATTAGTCTTGGAATGTGGATGCTGGAGTATTCCTGTGTATCCATTCAATTCCTCTTTGAATGCTAATTTTTTTTCCTGCCGTGCATGGATTGAAAAGTTTAAAGACTGTCGTTATTTCTCTTACTGATATTAGACTTGAAAACCCTTTAGTGGGTTTATATATATATATATATATATAAATCGTAATTTGTCAGAGATGTGATTAAGTATTAAATTAAACTTAGAAGGGTGATAATGTAACATTCAAAATGTGTGGCATCCTAATGTTAATGATGCCATTTCAAAAAATGTAAATATATGGGTGCTGAATGAACCATGTACTTACACATCGTCCACTACTGTTATGGTTAACAGTATTACCACATGGACAGTAAATGTCCTGAAATTTCATTTGCATAAATACATGAAGGGGGGTGGGAAACTGGCTTTGCTCAGGAAACAATGACTTTTGCTCCAAGACAAAGCTTACCCAGGCTTAGTTACTGTTGTATTGCTATCATTGTATGAAATCTATAGGACGGCACATGGAGGGTTTAGTGCCTCTAGATTTCTGGGCACTTTGAACATTAAAAGACAACCAATTATGCTAAAAAAGGTCATGTGTAGAGGAGAAATTGGGAAAACATTATAGCTACAGTACTAATAGAATTTTTATTTGTTTCTGAATTGAATAATAAAATGCCATAAAAAATGCAGTTCATTGTGAAGGACTCTAGTCTGGAAATAAGAGAATATGGAGCTATTTATTCGTGCGATTCTGAATAAAAGACTTGAGCCTGAAAACTTCTCTAACAGCTCTTGTAATTAAAATTACAAAATTTCTCTTGATTGTCATTCTACCTGCTAAAATCATTGCATGCTAGTAGTTCATCTTTGTGTTTTTTCCATGTATAACCTGAGTATGATTTCATTTCCTTTAGAATCTTCTGTAAAGGCATACCATGTACTAAAATTTGATGAGCTTATTAGAGCTATCATTAAAACATTTTATGATTAGTATTATTTAAGTTTTATTAAGTGTAGTTGTTAATGACATATTTAGAAGTTCAATTTCTCTTAAGGTCATTATGTAATTAATATTTAAGGCATTCATTACTTTATTAGTTTTCCCCCTTATTTTTTTTTAATATTGTTAAAATCTTTTTGTACTTATATTTGTATTTCCTAATAAAATTTTGATGATATATTTTTATTTTTCTGATAAAAGCAACACATATTTAGGTCTTTTGTAAATGGTTTTCCATTAAATAATTTGGCATTTGGTTTTATTTGAGGGAAAATAAATGTTGCTTTAACTTCACATTAAATATTATCATTGGTGCTGATCTTCCATCACAGTTCTTCCTTTGAAGTTTATTTCTGAAGTATTTAATACGAAATTTTTTTATTAAATCATGCTTGAGTTCCATACTGGTTGATAAAAGAAAAATATATTGATTTTTCATTTAGTAGCCTTTTGAATTGTGTAGGAAATCCTTTTCTTTATGTAGTGGCATCGCCTGAAAGTGTGATAATTACATAGGGAATCCTTTTCTTTGTAGAACATCGTCACCTTCAGCAGGAGGTGAGTCTGTCACTGACTCGTGCATGCTCAAGGATCGTCCCGAAACGAAAGCAGCTTTAATTCGGAAACCATCACAAATGCCTCATATTATATATCATCCGAGACCTAGCGCTGTATGTATTGTTTTATCTATATGTTTATCATACCTCTACAGTTGACTTATATTAATTTCGTCAAACACCTCTTGTATATGTGTATATCTTAAAAAAATAACAGTTCCTTTGGATGGAAATTCTAAGGTAAGTTTTCATAAACAAGTGTTGAGTTCTGTTAAAAAGAAAAAGTAAGTGCATTTTTTTATAAAGTTATACGCATATTGTCTTTTAATGTTAGAAATGGGTAGTCACTTTTCTTAGCTAAAGATGTTGCAGGATGAATACTGAGGTTGGTATACCCTGTGTACATTCGGAAGCACATTTCATCTTTTTGAAATTACTGTAAATGTCTTTAAGTTGTGCTGTTTGATTTTTAGATTTGCACATATGGCATGAGAGAAACTAAACATGGATTAGTTTTGACCAGTTACCGCTCTGATTCTGTGAGAGAAGCCTTGCAAAAAGCTATTGAAGAAGAAAAACTCTATCTGCAAAGACGGTATGTGTTTATATATAGCTGAAAAGTCTTAAAAATTTGGGGATCTTTAAAAAGAAACTTATTTTCATAACAAAAAGTCTCTTAAAACTCATATAAATAAAGAAATTATTTCAGAAATTTATATCAAGAGGATATCTCTTCTCTCGCTCTCTCTCTCTCTCTCTCTCTCTCTCTTTTTTTTTTTTTTTTTTTTTTTTTTTTACATTTTGAAGAAATAATCTTTTTTAGGGTGTTAATTACAACTATTTTATACCATAAATGTCATAAATAAAATAGATTTCTAACATTAAAAAAATTGGTTGATTGTAAAATTTATATTTCATGTGTACACTAATGGTGTGCATCCCGTTAGTAGAAAACTACTAACTTTAATTTGGCAATATTCCTTTTTATTCCTGTGTAAAGTAAATTAGCTTAGAGTTGCTGTTGTAATGCTAGTTTTACTTCATTAAACATTAGAACTTGCAGCAACACAGAATACACGTCCTCAATCAGCAGTCATTGCGAGTGTGATATGCACCCCCACAATTTTATATAGGTTATTACATCTTTAGTTAATAGAGGACACAGAGAGGTGAATGGCATGTGCTGGCAAAGCAAGACGAAAGCCGAAAGTAAGTATGCATTTGGAAGCAGCAAAATATATACTGCCAGTTGCTTGTTGAAACTTTTATCTTTGATTGTATAAAAAGTATCCACAGTGATATATTAATTTTGAGATGATGGATTAAATAGGATAGGACAGGGATCGGCAACCTTTTGAGTCGAAAGAGTCAAAAATTTCAAAGTTTTTAAAGAGCCACAAAATGTTTTATTGCCAACAATAAATATTACTCTCATAAAGTTTTTTGATAAAAAAAAACTAATCCATTTATTCATAAGAAAAAAATATTTATTTATTCATATATAAATAGTGTTTTTCACAACAAATTAGGTAATATATGTAGGGCATTATTAGATAATTTTTTTATTATTTAAGTAAAAAATTAAACATTTACTTACAACACTATAACAAACAACTGAGCTAACAAATTCAATGGGAGAGATGACTTTGCATGGTTATTCAAGTAGAAAATTTAAACTTGACAAAACAATGTAACTTGTACTTAAAATAAAAAAACAATAACATACGTTTGAGCAAACAAATTCAATGGGAACATTGGCTTTGCATAGTTTTAGAAAGTTTGAATAAATTTGGCTCATAGCGTTATGTTTTAAGTTTCCAACACGACTCTAAATTTTTATTTGTTAGTTGACCTCTTACTCTACTTTTAATTATATTCATGCAAGAGAATGCTTGCTCACAGGAATAATATCGATCCAAAAATAGTCAGCACTCCAAATGCCAACTTCTTCACCTCACTGTAGCAATCTGGAAGACTATTCTATATGTTGAATACAAGTCCCTCAACTCGCGGTATTTCTTTTAAAGCTGTCTTTTAAAGCTTTTTGTTGTGTTATGTATATACATTTCTGGACCTCCAACTCTTCCAACTTGCTTTTCATCTCTGTAATTTTCCACTCCACAAAGCTTTACTTTTTAAATCAATCAATTGCATTTCTAGAGATCCAGTATCGATTCCAAATGGGTCAATTTCGTTACTATTTGTGTTGAGAGAATTTACTATGAATGCTAGAGTGATTTTGTTGGTTTTGAATTGCTCAAATCTGTCAGCAAATTCATCTTTAATTTTTTTATAACTGTGCTGAAGTAGTTCGTGTCAACAGTTGCACTGGTTTTATCGCGATATTGCTTTAGAAATTGAAAACGAAGCAATTTACCGCTGTGAATATCTTCTGCAAAAAGAATTAATTTTTCTTCAAAATAAACCAATTCTTTTACCAAAACATAGGCTGTGTTTCCTTTTCCTTGCAGTTGTAGATTCAGCTCATTTAATTTCGCTGTGACATCCACCATAAAGTAAAATTTTTGCAATCATTTGTCATTCTCTAATTCAGGGTGATTAATGCCTTTTTCATTTAGGAATGTATTTATTTCATTCAAGCACAAAGCATAACGTTTCAGCACCTTTCCTTTGAAAGCCATCGCACTTTATTGTGAAGAAGAAGGTCAGAATACTGAGTCTCCATTTCGTTTAAGAATTCTTTAAACTGACAATGGTAGAGTGCTTTTGACAAGATGCTGTTAACAATCTTGATTAACAAATTCATGACCTCAACTATTTCGGCCAAAAATGTTTAAGCGCTTCTTGGTGTATTATGCTGTGAAACATAAGAATTTTATGGTTTATTTTCTCTGAAGAATCTTTGTTGCCCCTTTATTTTTCCCTGTCATACTTCTGGCTCCATCAGTTGCTATTGAAACGATTTTATTTAAATGGATCTTATTGTCTTCAAGGCATTTTTGCACGGCATTCGCTATATCTTCCGCTCTATTTTGTCCCGAGAGCATTGGGAAGACGTAAAGCTCACAAAAAGGGCAACTTGTGCCGTGTCTTTTATGTCGCAAGACTCGTCTATAGCAAGTATAGGAAGGCTGAATATCTTCCACCTGCAAATATCTTGCATTTGAAGACATTTTAGCTATTCTATCTTGTACTGTTTTAGCAGATAGTGGCAAATCTTTGATTTTTTTTCAAAATTTCTGGTTTGTTTTTGAAATCACAAAGCAATTCTTCAGATGCACGTATGAAGCAATCTTTGACTACTCACCATCTGTGCATGGTTTGCCTTTTTTTGAAATTTCTAATGATACCGCAAAGCTTGCCAGATTAACATTACTTGTGGATTGCGTCCAGTTACTTAACATGGAACTTGATTGCTGTTTTTGTTTTTGGAGCTCGTCAACATCCTTTTTTCCGTTCTTCACCGGCTGGATATTTACTAGCAAACTGAGTATGTTTTTTAGTGAAGTGTCTCTCTAAATTTGATTTATTATTGTGTGCGAGTTAAATGAGACAAGTTGGAAGGCCATCTGAGTTGCATATGAAAGCGAACGACTGCGTCCAATCCCGATTGAATTCTCGATGCTCTTCTTCAGTTCTTCTTCTTCTTTTTTTTTTTTTTTTTTTTTTTTTAAATAAAATAAATAATAGTTGCGTATGGAACTAAAGAGCCGCAGGTTGCCGACCCCTGGGATAGGAGAAATAGCCAAAATAAAAGGAGGAATAAAAAAGATCATGGCTAAATTAAAGTTAGTAGTTTTCTTTCATATTTTATATCTTGCCATATGTATTTTTTAATTTTGTTTCAACATACATAATACACTTTTTTAATATTTTGTACTATATTATTACATACAAGAACAAGTGCTGAAACTTTTCAAATTAAATTTTTTAAGTTGCTCTATATTCAGGAGTAAAAAAATTATTTTCATAAATTGGCAACATTAAATATTACATTATTAATTTAAGGGGAGAGGAAATTTCGTTAAGATTTTTCATACATATATCTATCTTGATCAGCCAAAATATCATGATATAACCTCCTAATAACCATGTTTGATGTGCAGATCAGCTAAAACCCATCATAGCATGGATTCTGTAAGTTCTTGATAAATGTCAAGAGAAAATTTATGTCAGATTTGCAGATACAGATTGTGTTCCTCAAACCACTTTAGCATAATTCTCACTTTGTTATCAAAAGCATTGTCCTTCTGAAAGAATCCATATATTATTGAAGAAGGCAGAAGCCATGAAAATGGTCAGGGATGATGTTTACATAGCTCACAGAAGTCATAGTATGTTTTATAATAACCATTGATCCCAAAAACACTCAGAAGAATGTTTCCCAGGGCGTACCTCGACAATTGCCCTGTTTACTTCCTGAACATGTGTTGGCCAACTATTCACGTATAGGACTGCATACCTAGCACAGATATCAATGTGATATGAAAGAAATCATGATAAATCGATTGTTTCAGCTGTTTTCTATTGTTGCATGGTCCATTCACAAAGTTCACAGCCCTACTAATGTTATAAATGTAGAGTAAATGCAATGTTGTAACGTACAGACATGCATGTCATGTCACTTATCCAACAGTGAACAGTGTACACAAATACACCGTTATCGAGAGTGGAAGTTTACGAATACTAAACAAAAAATCCCATTTCGAAGATTCTCATTTAAGCCTTTTTGGCACGCTACCTTTTAAAGTCGGAGTTTTGATTTAAAAAAAAAAAAAAAAAAGATAGGCAGTCTAATTAGGTCTAGAGGAGTACACAAGTAAAAATTTGTGAAGATAGCACTTATCGTTTTAATTCTGTGGGTTTGAATAGAGCTTCAAAAAAGAATGCTGAAACGAGCATTGTTGTCAATGAACTGACCGATGAGATGCGGAGAAACAAAGAATACAGACTCTCAGTTGTCCTAGATTATCGGTGAGCAAGCCCGGTCTGGGCACACCTAGGGTTCGCCATTTGATTTTGGGCAAGATTTCAAGGTAAAAATTTAAAACTAATATAGAATAAGGAAATTAGCATTCAGCCATAAAAATAACATCAAAATTTCTTTTCAAACAATTCCTTTTACACCCTTCAAAAAAAGTCTGGAAGATTTCTTTGAAAAATGAGGGTTTTAAAAAACTAAACATGGCTAAAATATATGGACTAGTTTATGTTGAGCTTCCATCTACTATAAATAAAGAAGGTTCATAGTAACCTATAACTTTTTTTCATTCAATTTTTCTGTGCATACAGAAGGAAATTTTTAGGTGTGTCTAGACCAGACACACTGTGCCGCTTATCCCTGGCAGTCATTAAATAACATCTTGTCACATGTTATCTGCATTTTTCTGGTAAGCGCATTCTCATGGTCTAAGATGGTCATAATATTCTGGCTAATATATATAACTATTTAATTTTTTAATGGCAGATTCCTCTATAAGATGTTATTCGGTGATCTGAAATTCACAAATTTCAAGGTTTTATTGGGGGGAGGGAAGCCATTTTAGGTCAGTTTAATTCAGTATTTTAATTTTTTCTCTCTTAGGAAAGAAAATTCTGACCTCAGCATGAAGTCTAAACCTGCCTGTGAACTTGCCATGTCTTCAGAGCTTACGCATTCATTAACAAACAGGAAGGCTGTGCCCAAAAGTGAGCTTTTATCATGCAATGTTCCTGAAAAAAACATTGTATCGACGTTTGCATCTAAACCATCTGACATAATATGTACTACAGGATCTGATATTCTGTCATACACATCTGCCTTTAGAAATGAACATGTGTCTTTTAATAAATTACAGACTCTTAGGAATATTGTTACTTCATCTGGAACTAGTGTTGTTAATAGTCACCTTAAAGCTTTTCCAATTTCAAGCATATCAAAAAATAGTGATAGAACTACTCCGAAAATTGTGCAGAGGTATATAAATCCTTCTTATGTTACAGGTTCTGCCAAAAGTCCAGAAAATGCAACTCCATCTAAAAGAATAAGATTCAGTTTGCCACAAATTTATGAGCCTGCTGCAGAATCTTCCACAAGACATTTAACTCGTGCGTCTACCTTTTCTTCTCAGGCTCTGAATCATCTAATAGCACCTCTCACGTTTAATAATATTGTGCATGCCAAAACTCATCCTAAAGAAAGTTTTCCAAATTTTGAAATAAATAAGCTCAATAATGAAAGAAAAGAAAACTCTGCCCGTAAGTCACTGTTGACTTACGTAGGTGGGTTTGAAGAGGATCGTACAGGTTTTATATGTTCTTTTAAGTCAAGATTTCCAGTTAGCAATAAAAATCAATTTGTATGCAGTTTTAGTGGTCCCTGTGAACTAGAAAATACAAAAGTTAATGTAACTTCACCAAGGAGAACATTAAATATGTGTGAAAATACAGAAATTGAGAGGACAGAAGAATGTTCATTTGAAGTCTCTAGGACTTCCGAAAATCATTCATCCTTTTCTTCGGTTCCTTCTAAATCATATAATCGTAGTTCTGTGTCATCTGTTGTTTTAACATCTGAAAATAAAACGCACTCAGTAAGTATGCTTCCTATCCCTTATACTTGGATCTTGTTTGTGTTATGTTATTTCAGACATGCTTCTTTTGTGTGTGTGTGTGTACGCTTGTGTGTGCATTTTTTAAACATTTGGGTCTTGGGTAACAATTTTTTTTTTTTTTTTTTTTTTTTTATAATGATTCTTGTTTATTTTTATGTCGTTTTTCATTTCAGAAACTAGAATGAATCTAACGTAATTTCTAAGAATAACTGAAATTTTTTAATACATTCATTTAGTTACATATTTATATTAAAATTAAAGACAGTATTCGCTGTTAAGTCATAGATTTTATCTCTTTTATTCATGTGTTTCTTTCACTGTGTTTGCACATTTAAAAGCAAAAAGTCTACATTTTTTCCAAAAATTAAATAATTTAGTAATTTACTTAAGCATAATGTCTTTTATATGTGAAAATTCTTTATTTATTATCTCCTTTTCACCATCATTTTTAATACAGTTTACATCTTGTATAACATTTATATAAGAGATTTTTGTTATCTGCAGTGTTATTTTGCTATTACTAGAGTAGAGAATGGATTTTAAAATATTTGTAGACAAAAATATTTATACTATATACCCTTAGTCCTTGCTTTATGTAATAGGAGCAACTTGATTTTGCATCTTTTGAATGCGGTAAAAATCTCAGATCTGATGTGTAATATGGAGAATCGTTCTGTGTTACTCAATCCAGGTAACTCTACTATCTTTTTATGTATTTCATGAAACTGCATAAATTAAAAGTTCAAGGAATTTTGTATTTTCAAAACTTTTGTATTGGCAATTCAGCAGCAAATGTGAGTTCAGTGGCTGTTAAATACCTAAATGTTCTTAAAAAAAAAAAAAAAAAAAAAAAAAAAAAAAAAAAAAAAAAATGGAGCAAATTTTGTTTGCTTGCAAAATTGTACATTACTTGCAATACAAAATTGTGTTTTCCATCAGTTGAAAGAGAAAAGATTATGTTCCCACATTCAATATATGTTATTTGAACATAATTATCCCAGAGTAATTGGATATGAATATAACTCATGTTTGGTGTTAGGTCATCCACTGGCAGTAAAGTGGGTAAGATCACTGAAAATTGATAGGTGCATGAATTTTATAATTTTCCCTATACATAATGTAAATACAAATCAGTTCCTTTAATAAGTCTTCATGAAAGCATGTGTCCCTTAGGTAAATATCACTCATGTGCTTTGTGATGAAGGGTTAAACAAATGTTGGTTCAATGAAACAATGTTTTTATGTTTTTACTTTTTACAGACTTTTTTACTCTGGTGATTTGCCAAAGATATTTTCTAGGAATCTTTTCTGTTTTCCAGTGTACGACTTTAGAACTTTGCAATGTTTTGTTGCAATAGCACATTCTAATGCAGCCAAAATATCCATAACTTAAAATTTGCTATTTCTGTAATATTTATTGGCCGTATGAGAACCACATATCCCAGCAGACTCCTTTTATCTATCAGCCAGTTTACAGCACATTTTGTATTATGAGAAATAACAGTTGCATAAGGAAATAAAATCTGTTTCTTTTTTAGACATGCTTTACTAAAAGTGAACTTGTAATTGCCTTTAGTATAATGTAATAATAGACATTCTTTTATGACCTCATGAACTCGAAGTATCACTTTATAGGTAATCTCAAGTTTAATTGGGAAAATTTTAATTGAAAAATATTTTTTAAATATTGTTTACATGATTTTTATTATAATAAAATAATACTCTATAATGTCTACAAAATTCCATGTTTATTTTGTGCTGACAATAAATTAACAATCGAAACTCTCAATCTAAGGTCACTTTCTATTTAAAATTCTTAAATTTTATTTTAATTGGGTATCAAATCCTCATGATTAACAAAAGCATTCAGCTTTTGGACTGTTCTTTAATTTCTTCTAGATCAAGTAGACTGAATGCTTCTGTGTGTTATATTTTTTGCAACCTTTTTTTCCTTGGTTTGTAAGTAAAAGGGAAGATTATTCTTCTGAGGTACTTTAATTAGTAGCAAGCACTGTAGGAATTTTGTTCTGTTACAATTAGAGCGTTGGGTCTGTATCATAAAGCATGTTTGTACTGTTAATTCGTACTTCTTCAAATACACTAAATATCTTTCAAAGTGTGTAATACTGCTACTGTTAATTGCTATATTTGTAAATTAATTTTAAATAAACATCAGTTGTAAATGAGTCATTTTCTTCATAGAGAACTTAATAAATCTCTAACCTAAGGATTGTAAAACACTTATGTTTTGAGCCATATTTTATGTGTTTCATAAAAAAAAAAAAAAACTTTTAAAAATGAAATTTGGTAGAACAAAATGGATTAAAAACCATGGTACAATTCAGTTTCGGAGACCGTAAAAAATTGCAGCGAAAATGCATGCGCAAAAGTGCCAAATCTAGCAAACTTGCCCATTAAACAGCACGCCAAATCTCGCGAACACACTGATTTCAAATTGCATAAGTTTTAGATAGTTCTATATTTGTAAGTCGCCATTGAAATACTAGTTTAATTTTTTAATTCTCTTTTGATAAAACTACGGATTTTACAATTTGGGATTTGCCGAGTAAAGAAAAGTCTGCAATAGAATTTTTTCAAAAAAAAAAAAAGGCATCATTCATGATAGAAAATTATGTTTGAACAATCAGGAGGTGAATTATGCTTTATCGATAACTCGGTAGCAAAATGGCGGTGCAGGAAAGAAACCTGTAATGAGTATGTTTCCATTCAGTTATTTTAGCCTTTTTACTTCCTTGTACGAAGTAAAAAGGAAGTATTGTAATCGCGAAAATTTTCAGGCAGCATATTTCAACGAAAATGTCCATTTTGACCGCTATCGAATGCAATTTAACGATGTTTTTGCGTGATATCTGTACGTAAGGACAAAATAAAATACTCTTTTCCTTCAAAAAAATTATAAAACTGCTTTAAAATTAATTCCGAAGAGAATTTTTCGTGGCGTCTGTATGAACGTATGTACGTACGTGCGTACGTATCTCGCATAACTAAAAAATGAGTAGCCTCAGAACGTTGAAATTTTGTATATAGGACTGCAATAACATGTAGTTGTGCACCTCGTATTTTGGTTGCAATCAGCCGCACCAAACGTATATAAATATATTTATATATTATATATCCACTCTATTACCCGGCTCCATGATCTCAGTTTCTTTACTCTTATATGTTTGTAAATTGTACATTTTTTGCTTTAAAAAATGATTAAATTATGTTGTTTTTATCTTCCGGTTAAGGATTTTATGTCTTTAATGAATCTGTTTGCAATATTTTTAGAATTATCAGCAATTTTAAAGTTGTTTAATTGCTGCTAAGCCTTTTTTTATGGCGGCCATTGATGTTTACATTTGAAACAGGAGACTAGTGGATTTGTTGCCAATCTAGAGAAACTTAGGTTCGCAACAACAAAGATAACGCATTCATTTATTATTGCCAATTAAATCATGCTTAATTCTTTCTGGAATTTTTTCGAGGAAATAAGCGTTTTGAGATTTACTTCGTAATTTTTAATATAGATATTTGAGTTTTTATGTATTTTTGCCTTCTCGCGAAGTGAGAACTGAATTAATTAAATGAGAAATACTCAATCGTCTGTGAAAAACTGTTTCTTTTTTGTTTTCTTTGCTTAATTTCTTTTATACATCATTCTAGCTTTATTATAGTATTTGAATAGAACATGTGGCAACGATTAGATAATTCTATTTTTTAAATTATATAAATTTTGTGCATAATGAGTTATAATATGAACGAAATATATAAGTTAACTGTTATATAATTATTGGATTATATAACATTTAACTTAATTTCCGTTGTATAATTATTATATAAGTTAACTGTTATATAATTATTAATACTGTTAAGTGAATCTAGCGCCAGAGTGTCGCTATGGTAAACAAATACTAGAGTGAATTTTAAAGAATTCATTTATTCCATTGTGGTTTATGCGCTTTGGCGAAGTAGATTTAATTCAATCCAATAAGTTTAAATGAAATGCAAGAAAAAATGTGTATAATTTAATATTCCAATACAAGGAAGTCGTGGTGTATACATCAAATTTTTTTATATAAATAATAATAATAAAAAATTGTAAGATGTGAAATTAACCTTTTTATCTAAAATAAAATAATAATCTGAAACATTTATTTACTCTTATGCTTCCATTCAGTCATGTTTAGCCTTTTTTATATAAATTATATTAATAAAAAAGTACTATATTAAAGTAACTTTTCAACTAAGTTAAAGCATCAATCTTAAATAGTTATTTACTATTATACTTCCTTTCTTGCATTAGTGTTGCCGCAATTATTTTTGGCAGCATTGGCATCAACAATAGTTTGGCGATTTTTTACGGCCCTCAAAACCGAATAGTACCAAAACCATTTTTATAAGATGTTTTTCTAATGCATATATTCTTTTTTATTTTAAAAATATTTTTCATGGAGAAATTTTCTTGCAAAATAAAGTAGCATTTAAAAATTTTTAATGCCAATAAAAATAGTATTGGGAGCAGTTAGATTGGAATTTTCTTGAAGTTAGTAGCTTTGTACATTAATAATCAGATGAGGAATTTCAGGTAATATAAATAGTATGAGAAATTTAGCTTTGGTATTTTGCTTAATTTTGTTAAATATAACCTTAATGTATTTAGTATATCCATCTTTAAATTCCCCATAATTATTAAAAATTTGGGCTGAATTTGTGAAACTGAGGTCATGTGCTTCCCTTATTAGAAATAATAATAATTTTTAAAAGTTTAATCATATGTGTGTTTCTATTTTATCCAAAATAATAAACACTAGCTAGAGAGATTAAATAGCCCTTGGAATCCTTCATAGAAGAATCTTGTGAAGAACATTCAGTAGAATGTAAATAATATCAGGAATTTTTTAGATTTAGAAATTTATCAAATATACAGTGAATCAGATATAAAAAGTCATAAAATTTAAAAGATTCGACAGTGAGATGCTTTGAAAGACCTTAATATCCTGAAATCATAAACTGGAAGACAGTGTCAGGTTTACAAGGAGTCTTGGGAAGATCAAGCCCATGCAGTGCTGTTGCACCATTGTTGAAGGAACTTTGCTGTGTTGGAAAAAAACATTTCAAATTCATTCTGCCTTTTTTTTTTTTTTTTTTTTTTTTCTTTTTGATAGCATCTTATCTTAGTATGAAAAGTTATCACATGTGTTCAAAATCATTCATTTTTACTGAAATATGACTAGATACTGAAATTATATCTTATTGGTATATGCCTACCCTTCTGTGCCTGAATATGGTCAATAGTTTTATAACAAGATGGCTGTAGCTGAGTAAGCTTATTTTATATATTAGTGGCTTTGTCTTATATTCCTTTAATCTAAAATTAAGTCTTAACTGTAAAATTTGATACCACTGCTATTAATTCTCTCCACGGCTATTAATTTGAATTAAAAGACATTCTTGTTAGCTTTTTGAATTGTTTCAGAATTTAATTTTTAAACATATATTTGAATACTTAATTAATCCGATTGTTATATACACTGTGTCCATGTAAGTACTTACCCAGCCTTTATTTTTGCAAACATTGGTCATAGGTATGCATTTCTGATTACAGAAATATCTCAAATGATGCAAATATCCATGTTTTGTCACTTTTAGAAAATTATGAAATGTAATTTTGTATACTACATTCCCATC